TCATAATTAAAAATGTCTCCATTTAATAATAATAAAATATACGTGTCGATTTTTTTAAAATATTTTTAGTTTAATGTATATTGGATAAATAAAGAAAGTTAAGTTATAAAATGTTCACGTCAAGTCATTATACCTATATATATCTTCTTGTTTTTCATATCGTTGTGCATCTTTAATTGTAATAATTTGATTCTAATTTAATGTGATATAAATATATTGAAGCCTACAATCAACAAGGTCGATATGTCCGAGTGGTTAAGGAGACAGACTCGAAATCTGTTGGGCTTTGCCTGCGCAGGTTCGAATCCTGCTGTCGACGTTTTTATTTTTAATAGTTCCAATTTTAGTACATGCAAAATATTAAAAAATATCCAAATCCATTATAATTTGGGAGTGCAAGAAAAAAAAATTGGAGGTGAGGAAGAAAGTTCCTATAGTTTTCGATAATTAGGTTTTTGGTCGACCCAGCAACCAAGTAGATTAATGGGCTTTTTTAAGTTTGGAATATAAAAAACTTTAGGGTGTTACTCCCTCCACCACCCCATTCCCCTTTTACCCTTTTTTTTTTATTTTTTCATTCATATTTTATCCTTATTAAAATTTTAGGGTTAATATTATTTAAAATCTCACCGTGAACATTCATTCTTTTTATCATTCTTTCCTCTTTCTCTTTATTATTTTTCTCAGGTTCACTCTTACGTTCCACTATCGTTGGGTTGTCTCTCATGTTCCACTTCTTCTTCTCTTTTATAGAATTGTGACGTGAGAGTGTTGTGGACTTTGTGTTTAGTAAGATTGAAAGTGGGGAAAGCAATTCATCTTCAGCCGTGAGTGGGGTGGTGCTTCAAGGTGCTGGTTTAGAGGAGGCGTGAGAGGTTAAGAGGCGTGAAGGTGCATAATAAAACCCTAAAATATAAACCGTAATCGGTAAACGGATGTGAGCATCCGTTTAACGATTACGGTTTATATTTTGCAGTTTTTTTTATATTGAGTCTTTTATTAAATAAAGTTAATTTGATATTTTCATTAAATTGATATTAACAATGTTTGAAAATATCACATGTTAAAATTTTGATTGTTTTTCATATTTTGACACTTGATACTTATAAAGTATAAATAATTTAAATTTTGACACGTGGTATTATTAAACTTTCTAAGGTCAATTTAATAAAAAAAACTAAATTGACTCTTATAACTAAATTAAGTAAATTGATTAAAAAAGATATAAAAACAATTATATACCTAAATATAAATGTATCAGTCATGTTTTTTTAGTACCAAAACATACTTTCCACACTCCTTGACACTAAAAGGTCTTACAAATCTCTCAACATACAATGTAACGATAAGAGAAACTCATCAACAAGCCCCATGAGAACAACACTAGAAGCAACAAACTTACGATAAACAAACAAATGAAATCACTAACTAAAAGCGATAAACAAAAGCAATAACAAACAACCTCAGCACTAGAAGATCTTACAAACTTATCGAGACAACACATCCCAACATACAAACCCTAAAATTGAAGCTCTCAACAACTTATGTATGGATAAGAGAAACTTCTCAACCAACCCATGAGAACACAATATTAGAAGCAACCCATAGTAATGACAGATTAAGGAGTAATTAACATGTTAAACACCACATCTTAATGACAAAAATCATATTAAGCATAATTAGACCTACCACCCCTATAAATATAAGTAGTTTGGAAAGAGGTAGGTGATTCTTAATTATTTGGCATTGATATACACAATTATAAATCTAATTTGAATGTATGAATGTCTTTTATATATATTGACTATGACTTGAAAGAACAAAAACACAATAAAAAAAACATTACCAAAAAAATTTATAAGACTCAAAAGATCAATAAACAAAAAAAAAACTTTGATATTACTAACTCTATTTGTATTTGTAAAAACAATCGAGACCAAGTTACTAATTAAATCTACCCAATTGTTTTTATCATTTATAACCAATTAACTTTATCTTAATAAGAATACCTCTCAAAAATAAGTATGATACCCATAAAATATGCAAAACCAAGATTGCAACAAGTGAGTGAGGAAGTTTGAAAAGAAAAGGATAATAATTGATGATCCTCCACAATTTTAAAAATCATGAAAGGATTAGAATGCAAAGGCAAGAAGAAGAGACAAGTCCAATGTAGCAGTGTAGGACCCCTAAAAATTTTGCAGAAGAAAGACCAATCTCTATCCATGTTGGTACACTATTAATTGTCAACAAGTTAATGCTCCTATCTGTGACCAAAGTATGGAAGTTAAATATATGGCTCTTATTGCTGCATATTAGGAACACTGTACCCCACCTTATGTTCATTTTCTGTCACTACAAAAACCGAGTAACATTGCGCTGTCACCTCCTTATTGGATACACAATTAAACCCTTCTATTGTCTTTTTTACATTGTTATACTCAATAAATTTATATGTTTTAAATTTCTTGTAGCAACCTTAATCTAAATGTTTTTCTGCTCCTAATAATAATAATTGCAGTTATAAGACCACGTTTACACAGTTAACATATATATTATTTCCTCATATTATATAAGTAAAAGATTATATAAATTTAAACACAAGTCATTTATATGTAAACCCTCTCATGATGAAAATTTCAAGATTTATATTTCTAATTTATAAATGAAGTAATAGGATTTCACAGCAACTATCAATTACTTTTTATAATACATACATACACATGTACGTATATATATATATATATATATATATATATATATATAATAAATTAATTTAGGTTATATTCTAATAGAGAAACTTCTAGCTTATATTTTTACTTTCAATTTATAACTTCAATAATGGTCCTTTTGAAATGGTCTTTGTCTGGGACCATCTCAAGAAGCATGTGCCTTAAGAACAAGGAAAAAACAAACCCTAAATCTAATGAAATCCCAACCAACACAAAATTCTTCATCTCCCCATCTCTCTCTCTCATAAATGAAGCATATTTTGTTTTCTTTTTCTTTTTCAAATGCAAAGAGATAAAAAAAAATCAGAACCTATGTGAGATTTTCCTCCTGGTGAACCTTATGATATTGATTTCACTGACCTATGTATTATAGCATAATAAATAAATAATATACTTCATCACCTAATGGATGTTTTGAGGGTAAAATTGGAATGAGATATATATATATATAAAGAGAATGAAGAAAAGGTGAAGAGGAGAAGAGACCGAGGAGGTGCAATGAGTAATGAATAAAGAAAGAAAGGAAATGTTTATATATAATTTTTATTTTAGAAAAAGAAGGGACATATCCCAATTTTCTTTTTGACTTTTCAGAAATTGAAATGGTTAAAGTGGTCACCGCACACAATAATAATAATAAAGAAAAAACAAAAGAGAGTGAGAAATAAATTTTCCTACACGAAATTATAATGTGGTTCCACAAGAGTCTACAGAAAGCGAAAGTTCATGTTAAATTCAAAAGCGTGTGAAATATTTCTTTCGAAAGAAGAACCAAACAAAAAGTAATACAAAGACATAATTTATATACATTATCATGAGTACACGAATAATGATATATGGTCCAAATTTCCAATTAACATAAAAAAAAAAAGAAGGTGGATTTGCTTAGTTTATTATTTTCTTTATTAACATGTTAAAAAGCATCTATTCTATATAGTTTAAAGAAAGTATATTTATCTTTTTGAACTTTATGAGTTGTATTTAGTGAGGTGTCGTTTTCAATTGATCGTATCTGTTTTGTTAAAGATGATTTTGCTTAGACAGATAGAAGATACTTTTATTGATGAGTGATACTGCAATAATAACAAATGCAACATTGCAATTATAGAATTTGAGAGTTATGATAATAGAAATGAATGAGTGATAGTATATAATATATATAAACATATAAAAGGGGTTGGCTAATGGTCATTTTCACACTTAGTTGGTGGTTACCAAAATAAAATATTAGCAGCAATCACAAGGCATTACTTTTTTTTTCCATTGATGCATGCATCTATATCTTTTCTATTAGGTGTTGTTTTCACAGAAAGATATGTCAATTATAGATATCATATGAGAGAGAGAGAGAGAGAGAGAGAAAGGATAAGGCATTGGAGATGATGAAATAATGCTATGCAGAAATCAATGACAAAAAAATAAGCCAAAATTATAAACCAGAAAAACAAAATCATACCACACCAAATCTTAGATCAAGTTGCAAAAGGGGCACCTGAAACAAAAATATTGGTGTAAAATCTAATGATAAGTGCATGTGTGTATCACTGGTGATGAGCCTGGGACCATTAAACACTGTTGCATGGAGTGCTATAAAGAAGATTATACCTTCTAATTGACTCATTCTCTGTTGTTCAACACAACAATGACTAAAGGGAAAGAAAAAAAATTAAAAATCTAATTATCTAACTATTCAATTCTGAAGTGACTGTGATTATATATTATCATAAAGCAAGGGTCAATTCCTATGAAATAGCCCTCTTATCTATCTATATCTATATCTTTGACAATATATCATGGATTAAGACATCATTGTGATTTTTTTTTCAAATCTGTTATGTGATTGATAATGGAGCTTCATCAGGTCAAGACAAAAACGAAATGTAATTTCAAACAAAGATGGTCGATGTTCTTGTTAGTTTCCTTAATGGAATCATGAAAGAAACTAGCAAGAACAGTAAACCCCAGAAAGGAAGCATGAATAAAAACAAAGAACTGAGTCTAAATTCATGAAAATGAAAGCATTTAGTTCCTTTACAATGGACTAATTCATTTGAGTTCTTCAATCATAAACATAATTAACCCCTTTCTCCCCAAAACAAAACAAAATAATAAATATCTCAATTGAGAAGAAACCTAGCGATGAAGTGCCATGTGAAATACAACCAATAATTCTAGTTGAACAGTTGATAAAGACTAGAATGATTGAGCATGAGACAACTATGGAAAAGCATCATAATATAATAATATAATAATATAATATACAACTTAAATTATAATAAGCCGTGTAATTTAGAAAGCTAAATATAGGTATAGCAAGTAACCCTAAAAAATGGTAAAAATCAATAAGCAATGATTGAAATTATGCTGTGGTTGTGGTTGTTGTTGAAGAAGGTAAACTAGCACTGGAAGCAGCATCAACACCAACGTTACTATCATTGTTGGCGCTCACTTGAAGAACTATACTAGTGGCAGCACCACTATCACTAACCTTAGACACTCTTGTGGTGCTTCTCTTTCGCTTCTTCTTCTCGTAGGGGACCCCTCTGGCTTTGGCCTGGCCCTCCTTCACTTCCTTAAGGTAAATCATAACAGCCTTAGCGCCGAACGGATTAGATTCAGGGCGACCGCCATTTTCTTCGTAGGCTGCTCTGAGTCGTCCGATAAGAGCGTCGAGACTGCCCCACGCTTGTTTGAGTGGACAAGCGCAGGGTGCAGGAGGGTTAGGGTGTCCGAAGTGGGGACACCCGGACATGTGGACCTTGGTTTTGCCAAACTGGTCCAAGTACTTCAAGAATTCAATGACGTGTGCTCCACTGCACCGTGCTAACGTCAATGGGGGCTTGTGGTTGTGCAGGTACTGAAAGAAGGTGTTCCAGTCTCGACGCTTCTGGGATTCGTAGCGGCTTGGTGGTGGTGGTGGAGGTGGTGGTAGGGCTGGTGATGATCCTTGAGATTGTGGTGGAGCTGTGGGTTCTGTGGTAGATGGTGGTTGGGGTTGTGATCCCCCTGATGATGAGTCCATGGTGAAGGGCTTGTAGAACACTGAGGTTGGTTGAGTTTAGGTGAGTGTGTGTTTTGTGGTGTGATCTGAGAGAACAGTGTTTTTTTTTTTGTTGTTTTGGATTGAGGAAGTGAGGTTTTAGGTGAGTGTGGTTTTTGGTTTTGTTTTGGGGTATATGGAAGTGAAAGAAACAAGTTTTGTTTTTGGGGAGTGTGAATGAATGAGAGGGTGAAGAGGGTTTGAGGTTGATGTTTTCATGGGAAAGGATTTCTGGCTTTTGGTTTCTTTTTCATGAGAAAGAAAGAAAGAGGGAGGGAGAGAGGAGAAAAGTGGAAAAGGGAGCATTAAATTCACTGTTTTGGTCTTTGGAGTCAAAGAGAAAAAGCCATAGAAATAATAATAATAGTAATTGAATTTGGACAATAAATAACAATATGTATCAATGATAAAAAAAATACTATATGTGGCTTTTTTTTATTTGTTCAGTAAGAAGAATAAAAAATAACTATGTTCGACAAAAGGGTTGAACAGTTGCGAATACCGTTTTGCCAATTTTTTTACCAATGTTTTTACTTTTTTTTTCTTTGATCGTTTTTGTTTCAAGCTAATTTTATGATTTATTTAAAATAGACACTTGACCATTCGTTAATATTTTTGTCCAATAAATGCAATCTGATTTTTAAACAATTTAAAAAGGTATAATGAGCTGAAAGGTCAAATTACCAACCTGTGTTTTGTAAGAATTTTTTAAGACAGAAAAAAATTCTAATGGGACACGTTAATAAAAATAAAAAATAAAATTAAGGATAGATGAGTCTAAATGAAATCTCACAGTGACTTTTTTGAAGAAATATTACAAAGAGGCGAAATAAGCTATTTTTGTCAAATTTAGTAATAAGATACACTTTTAAAGCAATTAAATAACATCTTAAGCAATTATAAAGAGTGTTTATTGTGTGTTTCTCACTTCCCCAAATGCATATACTGAATGTCAATCCTACTAACTATTGCGACAACTGCTCTTCAATTGAATATCTCTGTTAATGTTCCTGAATCATTTTTTACAGAAATAATGGTATTGTAAAATCCTCAGTATGTATAAAGTTTCAATTACATTTGGATCCCTCTTCTTAGAATTCAATCGACAACCTCTTTACAATTAAGGGCAGGATTCAATTTTTGGGAGGAGATTTAGCAATGATTTAATTATAAGACAGATACCATATGTGACTAATTCCTAGAACTAAAAATTTGTAGCAAAAAAAGACCATAAAATTAATCACCCGAGACAACAGAAAGTGCTACACGTAGGTCATTAGACGTCCCACATATATACATTCTGTAAGTTTGAATTTCTTGTTGAGAAACATTACCACTACGAGCTGCATAGTGATTACCACTCACTCTATCACGCAGCGAAAAAATAATCTCTCTGACGATTGGTTCATGGCCATTGAGAAGATTTCCCATGCTCAACACTTTTCTCCAAGATTGGTTAGCAGTAGGAGGAACAAACATATTTGACAACACTTCCCTCTCAACGTCCCTTACTTCTTGTTTCTTGTCAAACTCCTGCACAAAGATTGCACCAAAGATAGCGGAAATGCATTTCAGTTCAATGCTAAGAAAGATTGGAACGTTACCCAAATCAGGAAGGGTATTTCAAGGCATATATTGCAAGCATCTCACCTTTTCACCACTGTCCTCTGTGAAACCCTTTGCCGTTGTTTGAATATAAAAATTGTAGTAATCGCTGAAAATTTCTCTGGAAAGTCGTGGTGCTTTTAAAAGCTTGCGATGAAGGGAAGCTGCAAGAGTCAGTAACTTCTCAACTCGTTCAAGAGTACCAGTTAGTCGTCTTAAGTCTTCAATAGTCTCACTATCTCCGGACAAGCGATTTACTGCAAGAACATGTAAGAGTATTAAAAAATTATTCTTTTCCAATGAAGAGAAAAATAAATAGATACCTTGCAAAGGCCTCAAAGCAGATGCCATTGTAAGGTAAAGTTGCTGCATCTCAGTCTCCATCTGTTTCAGTTCTCCATAACTAGTCTGACTTAGTGTGTCGGCAGCTGCTCTGAAGGCAGTACACACCATTTGCTCAAGTAATTCATGTGGTTGCAGAGTTTCAAGGTAATGAAGCACCTGGAAAATTGAAAGCATAAAAATTTATAGCACACAATATACACAGTGAACAGCATATCTCAAGCAAAATCCATATACTTATTATATAGCAATCTATTTCTTCTTTACATGAATATACAGTGGCAATTTTTGAAAAAAGAAAACTCATTTGATTATTTGATCACAAGAAAATGTTAGAAGCGAACAATAATAATTTAAACTTTTATCTGTCTTTCATGGCCCTCAATTCACCAAGGGCATCCAGTTTACCCATAGGACCTGCATTCCAAAAGTAAATCTTCTCGTATAAATATGGATGAAACTCATCAACTTTGAGTGCAATGACCCACGAAATCAGATAAAGATGCATATATTGCATATATTTTTATTTTAACTTTAAAATATAATCTATATATTCAAAGATATTTATTTATATCAAATTTTAATTGTACAAAAATTAAATTGGGGTGATACCGGTTGAGAAAAAGATGACACAAAATTGGATAAGGTGATTTGAACAAGTAGAATTTTCTTCAAGGATTTATTTCTAATGAAAATTCTCTGGTTGCTAACCAGAAGACCAACAACCTTTAAGCTGATATAATTTTTATGCCCATTCATTCCTACCAATGTCCGTAGAGTTACATCAAATGACACAGGCCCATGAGTCACAAATCAACAGGGACAACGACATGGCACTCCTATTCAAAACTGAAGCACGCCTCTCATTAGACCGGATTTTAGGATTTAGAAGCTGTATCAAATTGACTTAAATTTCAAGATTTAACCATCCCTTAGCGGATCATCATATTTAGTTGTCATTAAAAGAACGACACATTTCATATTCACATCAGAAACAAAAAGGGGGAAACGATCAGGGCAAAGCTCCTATTATCATTAAGATCCTCATGATAGATCCACTAGAATGAGAAAACAAAGAAATAGCTGCAAAGTATAAATGGATCAGCTTTCCCATCAATATGGAAACCAAGTAACAAAAATACTATTATTCTGGTATAAATTACTCGGTGCCCAAAAATATGTATAACAGCAAAAGCAAAATAAATTTAAACTTCCAGAACAATACTTACTTTTTCTCCTTCCCTATTCGGATCAAGAAGAGGCTTCTGTTCAGAAGCAGGAAGAGCAGGTGCACTATTCCAAAGCTTTCTCCATAAATTTCCATGCTCAGACATTCTCTTTGAAAGTTTCCCTTGTGGAGGCCAACTATCTTTTGACTTTTTAGTGTCAAGAGCACTGGATGATGATGATGATTTACTTTTCTCAGGGTCATCATACTCTTCCCAATCCCCAGGTGAATGCCACCGAATAAAATCTTCAAAGATAGCATCTGGATTTGCCGCCTTAAATGCTGACATATCTAGTAACAAAACCATTATTGGTCTCTCACATCATATATTGTTATATTGAAGAGAATTTTTGCATGAAAAAAGTTCATTATACCCACACACATACATACAGTTCCATTTGGTTCAGAATAAACTAAACTAACGGTACCAAGCATATTTAGAGTCAATTATGTGGGATTGAGTTAGACCCAAACCCAGATTCTAAGAGTATGGCATGGTGAACATAACCTCATGAGTGAAAAGAATAGATTAATGAAAACGTCATTCCATTATACTGATGAGGCAGATACATCAAATTAGAAAGCATTGTGAACATCATCTTCTAGTAAATATGCAACTATACATTTAAATTATTTTTTAACGTCTCACGCATTTGCTTCAGAAATCAGAATTAACTGTATTCTTTTAGAAAACAAAAAGGAACTTGAGACATTATCAATAACTACCCAGTGTTATTACCAACATATATTTTTATTACCTATCCATTACCAACAACAAATATATGCAATTATTACCTGAAGTTAAGATATCCCTTTCCAGCTGAGCAGAGAAATTCTGAAAATAAAAAGGAATTGCTAATTAATGATGTAATATATGAAATAGAAGTGTGGAACATCCATCAGTCCTGCTGCATCCCCTTTTAGTTTTAGATTGAAAGCAGAAATATGCATAAATTAATCCGATGATAATGAAGCTTCAAAAAATTCAAGAAAGGAGATAAATATTTGGTGTTTGGTTTTTTTTTCTTGTGCGACTTTCAGAGTTGCCTTTGAAAAGAATAAGAAAAACCTTAATCTTTTAGGAACTTAGGTATTATGGGATGTCTAAGTCCCCCCACAACGAATAATATGAGATGTTTGGGGAAGTATTTAAGTATTTGGTTCACCCATTTTAATAGTTAGCTTTTGAGGATGAGTTCCACAAGTAGTGGGGTGCTTATCAAAATCCCAAGCCCAACTAGACATCACATGTCACAATATTGTTTCTGTGATTCATATTTTAGCACATCGTAGTTCCTTGAATACTTGATACAGCCATCAATTTCTGTGCATAACAAATTACACAGCTTGGTCTTTTCACTTTACTTAGTCAACCTCCTGTAACAGGATTCAGCTATCCAAAAAGAAATTTTAAACATCTTACTTTGCATATAGAATACAGGACAATTTAATCCATGATCAAACGAACATATCAGGGTCAAGATAGGGAGCGATAGATATCAGCCTTCTTCTAGAAAAATGATACTAACTTTTAGCAACAATGATGACAAAGAACAGGCTATACTCCTTACATATAACCTCATTATTCAATGGATCTTGTTTTCTCATTTACCCGTGTGTGAAATGTAAAGAAGGTCTATGAGGTCTAAGGCTCTAACTTTTATAACACATGATTGCAATTATTTTATGCATTGCATGCGTTTGAGCTTACAAATGAATCACCAAAGGCTTCAACAGCTTTAAGCCTCTCCTCATGCATGTCTTCTGTCATAAGTGGTGCTTCCTGTGGCATAGCAAAAAAGATAAAGACATTGTATTGCTCAAAAATTGGTGAACTAATATTACATGAAAATGCCAAATATTATTTGGATACAAGAACAACCTGTGTATATGGGGCATGCATACTTTGATGAGACTTGAGTAGCAT